CAGGGAGCCGAGATCACGCCACTGCACTCCAGCCTGGGTGAGGAGCGACACTCCGTCAAAAAAAAAAAAGAGAAAAAGACAAGAAGTCTAAACTAGTGTCATGAAATTTATGTTGCATAGGAGGAGGAAAATCAAAATAAATTTTTAAAAATACTGTATATAAATTGGTGATAAATGCTTTGAAGAAAAATCTAGTAGTGAAGAGGAATTTGTTGGGAGTTGGGGAAGGTGCGATTTTAAAGTGCAGTCAGGAAAGGTGATATTTAAGTACAGCCTTGAAGGAGGGGGAAAAAGATGAACCTAGTGGAGACTCACAGGAAGATGGAGCCTGTAATAGGAGCCTGGAACAGCAAGAACCTGAGACAGGAGCCTGAGTTGGGAACTTGCCTCCCATGTCTGAAACCACAAGCCAGTGAGGCTAGAGAAGAGTGAACAAGAGGGCAAAATGTTGCAGATGAGGTTATAGCAGTAAGTGCTACTGTCAGGATTTGCTTTTGCTCTGAATGAGATAAGAAGCTATTGCAGAGCATTGAAACAAAGGAGTGTGATCCAACTTACATGATCTAACTCTTTTGAAAAGAATCACTGTGGCTGGTACGTTGAGAATACACACAGAAGAACAAGAGTGGCAACAGGGAGCTCAGTTAGACAGCTGTTACCATAATCTAGATGAGAACTAATATCTGCTTGCACTGGAGTAGTAGTGGGATATGGAAAGGAGTGACTGGAATCTGGAATTCTGGATGCACTGTAAAGGCAGACATGTGAGACTCTTGCATAATCTTTAGGCAAGTGATTTTCTTGTGGACAGATGGAGATAGATTTACATACAGAATAACTGCCAGGCAATAGGAAGTAAGGACCTGTACTGCTATAAATTTGCTTACTGTTATGTCTTTCTTTAACAGGTGAAGTTTACATTTTATCAAGCAGTAAAAGTATGACCCAGACTCACAATGGAAAACTCTACAAAATTGTAGATCCCAAAAGGTGAGATTTCTTTTTATCCCATTAAGTCAATAATTTTCTTCTTCCAGTTATTTTAGTTCATTCAATTAATGATAGGAATGTCACAATTAGCAATCAGCCAAGATGTACACTTCTGCCACTTCCATATGCTTAGCACTGTCCTGAGAGGATCCTCTTCCCCTGTCTATGATGACTGATGCCACTATGCAGAACTTCAAAAGCTCATTCGTGTGGTTCTTGCTGTCATCACAGAGCAACATTATATTCATGGAATCAGAATCTTCAGTTAAAAGCCAGACAGGGGCCCTGACATGTGAGGCAGTGGCTTAGGCTCTGGTGTTGGAAGCCATAAACCCTCCTTATTGTAAAGAAAATGAGAAACATACTGGCAGACATGACAGGTGCTTAGTATGATTTTTGTTAAGTAAACAGGTAAGTTACTCTGGCAGTTCAACATCTGAGCCTCATTTGGAAACTATCTGAAAGCTCACAGCGCTCAGGAAGACTGTGGTAACTAGACAAATATAAACTTAAGTAGGGTTTTGTTATTTGCTTCAGCAAAAGAAAGATTTGAATGTTTTAATCCTTTAAAGAATATGTTTATCTCATCCCGGTCCTTCCCACTCATGCATCACAACATTTATACATATGTACTTCAATCATCTTGAATCATCACTAGTCAGTTGTTAATTTCATGGATCAAACCTGAATTATCAGAAGCTGCTAAAATTATATGTTGTTGAAAAGACATTAGTCATCAATTTAGAAACAGCTAATCATAACGAAACCTGAGGATCCTTACAGACACGACTGTTGCTGAGCACTCGGACTTGTTACTCTTTAGCCACACCATGCTGCAAATTTCAGATTCCTTCTATATTATTTTCATGACTCCATTTTCAAATTTCAATTCAAGTCTTTTTCAAAAAAGTTAATTCTAATACTCTGAAAAGTTTACTAAGGGCATTTTAAAATATTCTTTTTAAATTGTAAATTGTGTATGTTTTTCTGAAATTTTCTCCTTTTTTATATGACAAAACGCTTTTCTGAGAGAAATGTAGGTTGACATTGGATCTTGCAGAACAAAAAGAAGAACCAGTCTAAATGATCTCTGGGCAGTATCACATATCACATATCACAGGTTGATAACATCCCTTCTCTATTTGACTGTATACATTTTCTTTCACAGTAAGAGAAATACCCATCTATATACTACAGCAATTTTTTTCCCTCAAATGTGAAATTAATGTCCTCCATAAGAAAAGCAAAGACGTAAACAACAACAACAACAAAATCAGACACTTAGGGGATTGTTGAAGTTGGCAACCTTAAGAATAAAAATCAAACTAACATTAATTCACAACATTCTAAAGATTCATAATGAGGTGTAGGGGTTTCACTCAGATATAATACAATTAGTTTCAAAACAGTCATTGTTATTCTATTATACTGTCTAAGTCTATATGTTTTTGCAAAGTACCTGGTAGCATTGTAATGGATTCTCTCTCCTTCTCACAAAAATCTTTCTCTCTTCATTTGGATTGTTTAGTCTGTGGCTGAGTGGAGGTGAATTTTACACCTTCAGTCTATTATTAGTGTCTAATTACCAAGGTTGCCATAAGGGACCTTGGCTTTGTGATCTTAGTTCTCCTCTAGTAGGGTGGTCTCAGAGTGACATACCTGAAGGCCTGACTTCTCATTATGGTGCCTGTTTCTAGTGAGTCATGTCATGTGGGGGGCCTGGGTTAAGATTTGTGTTTGCTTTTCAGAAGGTGGGGGAAGTAGCAGAGTCCCAAAGAAACCATCCTTGTACACAGACATGAGCATAAATTTCAAAATTAAACTGACTATAAGAAAACAAATGTTTTTATAAACATTTGTTGGGAGCCTCATGCTGTTTTGATTTGGCCATCAACGTTTATTATTATTGTATTTCTTCCTAGATGAGTTGAAGTTCTATATAAGCAGACACTTAAGTGTGTGAACAGGATTATTTTGGAAACAAACTAATTACAAGCATAGTGGTATTCAGGATGTCCGTGTTACGGCAGAATTGTTTTTCTAAAATTTTTGAGGCTGAATTTTAAAAAAGAATCTTATCAACTAAAAAAACAATATATAGACACATTTTGTTATACCAAAAATCAAACACACAAATTAAACTCTTAGGTTAATTGTATTCTCGTACCAAAGCCCCCAGACTTGCTAGAATAATGTTTTCAGAATAACTTTCAAACATCAGTTGATTTGTGGCCCAAGAAGAGAAAAGCAGAAAACTGTGAAATTTTTATTTTCTGTATTATATGTCATAGAAGTTACATTCTTACCATAGGATTTATGTTTTTCCTATTTTTTTCCTACATGTGCGCATGCACACACACACAAACACACAATGAGGGAGTTTAGAAACCATGGAAACTATACGTATAGTATCTCTTAAATCATTTTGGCAAAAACAGATAAGGTTCTAGTATTACCACCTCAGTCTGTAAGGACAATTTGATCTAAAGCTGTAAGCTACATAATCATTTACGTAAGTTTCAAATCAATTACAGTGTGCAGCAACCTCAGAAAAGGATGGTGAGGTATCCTCTTGTAAAAATTAAATGCCATTGTTTAGCATGAAAAAAAAAGAAAAGACAAGACAATGCCTAGAACTCAGGAGTTAAGAAAAAACTCCTGAGTTTAACAAAAAACTCCACCAGGCCGGGCGTGGTGGCTCATGCCTGTAATCCCAGCACTTTGGGAGGCCGAGGTGGGTGAATCACCTGAGGTCAGGAGTTTGAGACCAGCCTGGCCAATCTGGTAAAAACTCCATCTCTAGTAAAATCACAAAAAATTAGCTGGGCATGGTGGCGGGTGCCTGTAATCCCAGCTACTCGGTAGGCTGAGGCAGGAGAATCACTTGAACCCAGGAGGAGGAGGCTGCAGTGAGCCGAGATCATGCCATTACACTCCAGCCTGGGTGACAGAGTGAGACTCTGTCTAAAAAAA